ATTCATGTTTGTAAAATTTTTCTAAGTTTTTTTTTTTGTTTTGTTTTGTTTTGTTTTTTTTTGGTTTATTTGAAAGGAAACTTAAAACTTATGGTTTTTCCCGTCCCATCCTGCATCAGGACATTACGTGATGGTTTTGGTTCTGACGTCCCTGATGAGGAAGTAATGCTCTCCCTTTTGGAGGAAGAGTTGCGTGCCTATAAGGAGGTGGCAGGGGACACTGCCCAGGAGCGTTACAACACTCTCTGTGATCTGTTGGACATCTGCCACGAGGAGAGCTCCCACACCCACCTACGAGCCGTCTACCTGTGTGAAATGGCCCAAGTTGTGTGCTTCCAGGATTTCAGTGAACAGACTGACTGGTAGAAGCTTTTATTTCCGTTGTCATTTCCATTGAAAGGTGTTCTTTGATAGACACAAGTAATCTTGGTTGTCTGAATGTCCATTTGACCATATGAGCACGGTTGAGCTTAATGTTGGATGATGTCTGGCGGTGAATTTTGTTGCATTATTACTATACCACTCTAAAAAGATTGAGAGACTAACTCATGTAATTTTGTATAATTGTTTGGTTCAATTATGATGTGTTACAGTTGCAGATGTGACTCGTTGTGTGTATAAAGATCCTGCAATAACGGTCAAACTAAAGGTATAATATGTATTTGTGAAAGGGGTTTAAATGGCAAATGTAATGACAGTGGAAATGGGTTAGAGCTGGCACCTCATCTGTTTTGGGTGCAGCCAGATTTTATGTTGCAACATTGGATGGCAATAAAGCCACCAGTTGAAGTAGTCTGGGGCCCTGCTGGGTCAACACAGGCAGCATCCCACCAACCTTTCTCTGTGTTAATTATGTTTCTCTGTAACTATACAGCACAGCAGTTGATTTTACTGTTGAAGCTTTACGGCTACTGGAGGAAGAACCAGAGACTCCAGAAAATGCTGATAAACTGAAGGATGACAAGGCCCACGCTTTACTTTGGCTCTACATCTGCACAGTAGAGAAGAATCTTCAGGAGGTGAGCACTGTATATAGTCTAGTCATAAACCAAGGGTTTTGTGTGGTTGGACAAATACTGTGTTAAGTTGTCAGTTATTTGCTTTCTTGTTTGTTTTTAATATATGTCCAAAGTTATGTATGCATTAAGGCATATTTGCAGACTTTCAGTCTGTATGAATGAACAGCCCTTCTCATTCATTGGCATACCTGGTGATCAGCTGTAAGATGGAATTAGCAAAGTGTTTAATACAATGATGAAGCACATTGAGATTTAATAAACAGTACTTTTTTGTTTGTTTGTTTTATGCCCAGGCTATTGAGAAGGACAGAAAACTCCAAGAGGTGCGTGAGCAGACACGGTGTGTGGCCAACGCCATAGGAACCAATGACTTTGATTATGAAGACAAGCAGAAGACACAGGACAGTATTTTGGTCTATGAAGGCCTGCATTTCAACCTGGCTGCAGAGAACAGTAGGAACCCCCTTTTCTCCCATATCATCCATTGTCATAATACTTGGTTGTTCTGTACCAGAATCCCTCACCATGTACACCTGGCGGGTCTGATCTAATATACACTACTGGTCAACAGTTTTGGAGCACCTCTAGCCGACCACACTTGTAGCAGAAGTTCCCAAAAATATGTTGCGTTTGTAGGTTGCTTTGCTTTCACTCTTGATCTGGAAAGTCTGGACACTGCTGGTCATTCCATCATTTGACACCTGCTGTGTTGTTCTTTTCTTCTACACAGCCTGGAGGTGTTTTCTGGGTCATTATCCTGATATAGAATGAAACCCTGAGTTCCTTTAATTGCATTTTTCCAAATGATACTTCAGACCAACACTGCCTTTACACACACAGAAATTGTCAAGAATCAACAAAAGATGGGACATGTTGGAACTGTTTTGAAGCTGTCCTTTACTTCCACTGCTGCAGACAAGATGTAAATTAACCTATTACTTGATCCCTGAAAAATGGCTGTCTTTTAAACCTCTGGTAATTTGCTTCTTAGTTTTGTCCCATCTAAGTTGAACTGCTTAAATGTCAATAAAGACTGGACAAAAGGGGCTGTTAGAAATTCTGATTGGTAGTGTAAACAATGGTTGTCATTTGCTGTGTCTGTATGTGATTAATACACTTTTTTTTTTTTTTTTTTTTTTTTTTTTTTTTTTAAAGGTTTGTGGGGCCTCGAGCCTTTGGAAAGAGCACTACATGAGTGGTCCACTCTTCTACACAGTAAAATTCTGCCTTCTGTCAGGAGCCCCAAAAAGACCTGTAGCTCCATTGCTTTGACTGCAGCTCTCTTCAGACTCAAGGGAAAGGTAATAATACAAGTTGGGAGCAAAACTGTACATCTGTTTTGGTAGTTCTTGCATCGGCTCCAAATGGATGTTGAGCTTCTATCAAATAAGTAAGTACTTCACACAATTCATAAGGCATTGTGCTAAGTTAGGGGGTTGCATTTTTCAGTTTCTCCTCTAAGATGTGTGTGTAAGAGGAATTTTATGGTGTACCCGGTCAGGTTGTTGCAGCTAGTGTTCACATCATTGGTAATTGGAGCACCTGTGTATTAATTAGACTTCCCTTTTCTCTTATGTAGCCTCTAAAGGCTTTGGAAGCTTACCAACTGGTTACTGGACTTTCACGTCACCTTGCTGATTCCCAGAGTTGTGCCAGCTCCCTCTGTCTATCAGCCAGCCTCCTCCTAAATATTGGCACTCCTGAACTGGCTTTGGTAATGCAGAGTTGTAATGAATATTCTTATGTCTTACTTCAAATCTATAATGGCATTTCTAGATATTTCTTGTGCCATTATGTGTGTATTTATTTCCTAATGTCATTTATTATGTTTAGGCCCAGGTAGAGCAAGCAGAAAAGCTTCTTATATCAGATGGCACTGCCGAGGGACCTTCTTCTCTTTCAATGCTGGCCATCCTGTTGAAAGCTCAGTACTGCTACAGCACAGGACAGGTAGGTAATGTGTGCTAGCAGTATTTCTCAAATTCTTATTGTTTTTGCTGAAGCTGGTGATATCACCTCTCCTGTTTGTCCATATCACAGGTGGATCGTGGAGTCCCTTATCTGTGTGAGGTACTTAAAGAGGTGAACGAGCAGAGACAATCAAAGAGTTGGTACCTTCTACGTGCACGGGCGCTTCAGATCTGCTGCTTATATCTCAGTCTGGACACAGCTGTACTGCCCCAAGCCCAGCGGTGCTCTATTACACAGCATGGTCAGCAGAAGAATTTGCTACACTTTGTATTTAAAATTTTCATTTTAAGGATGTAGCTGTGAGGTTTGCAGCTATAAACAAAAATGGATCTGTATTTGTGTGTGTCAGGTATAAAAAACCCGGACACTGCCCTCTATGAAGGTCTGAAGCTTCTTGCCAGCCTGCTTGTCACATTAGTGGGCAGAGGCCTATATGGGACTAATGGCGGCAGCTCAGATGTGCGCTTTGTCGACCAAGGTATGTCTGTCTCTCACATGGACTGGTAGTTAATAGAAAAACAATTCACTCATGTTGTCTACTACAGAAGTTTTGTCTCTTTCCTTTGCTCCATGAGCAGGAGATAACCTGTTGCTGAAATGGCAGTTGCTCTCAGAGCTTTTAAATTGCTCTATGAAGATGGTGGCCATGAGGAGCAGCTGTGGGGCTGTCAATGATGCCAGGCTCCAGTGCCTAGAAGCCCTTAAACTGGCCATCAAGCTGCAAGCACTTAGCCAGTACGTACATATATATGGTAGTAGGTTAACATGTGAAGATTGAAGCAGGATCCAAAAGCTAACTTGTCTATGCCATCAACTCATACTGACCATTCTTTAATAGTGTTTTATTTTTGCAGTGTACCACACTAAATATACCGACAGGTCACAGTGTTTCTTCTTTGTTTTGTGTGCTGATAAAGTTGTTACAGTATTATACATATTTATTAGTTAACAGTTATAGCCGTAATTGCAGTTAGGACAACATTTTTTTGAGACAGCGCTTTGGAAGTGTTGATTTCTGAGGCTGCCTGCTTTTGTATGTGAAGTAGTTTAAGGAATTATTCTTAGCATTTAATGTACTTGTAAATAGCCTACAAACTGCACAATATACATATGCCATGGAATACATAAGATCTATATACTATGTAGCCTTAGCTAAAGTGGTGGCATTATAAAGTCCTGCTTATGATTGCTTGATGGAATTTCTTTCATTGTTTAGATGTGCTGAGCTATTGGTGATGAAAGCTGAGCTGGAACTGATGCAGGGGGAAAGAGAGGAAAGTGAAATTGATTTAGACAAAGTCAGGAACCTACTGGAGCTCTGCACAGGTGAGGACAGTGCACAGTTCCACCAGTTCAGAAATGACGGTGGGCACTGATTCAGTGTGTTGTTTTGAAGACTTTCAGTGAAGTTGTATTACTGTATAATCACACTGTTATTGTTTTCCAAAATATTGTTGATGTTAATGATTCCATGTAAATTGTAGTCAGAAACTTCCAAAAATTACTTACTGAAGTGAATTATTTATTTTTTTGTAATGCAGTCACTTAAAATTAGATTAAGTTGAAATTTGTTGAAATATTTGCCACTTTTGGGTGTTAAGTACTGCACTTTTATTTCTTTTTCCTCAGATTTTACTGATCAAGTGCAGAAGGCAGGGGTGAAAATTAGGCCAAGGAAAGGTTGTCCAGTGCAGAAATCTCAGTCTCCCGCTTCTACCTTGGAGGATGAGTTTAAGGGCTTCCTGACCACTAGGTTGATTGCCAGAGAACCTGTAGTTAGGGATATGGCCAGCTCCCCACCTCTCAAAGCCCGACCCTCCCGCTGGCTCTCCTCACTGGCACATGAATCTGACTGCCAGTGTCCCTGCTGCTCTGAGCCCTGTCTGGGCCGTGCCACTGCACGCTGGGCAGCTACACAGGCTGATCTGGTTCTTCAGCTGGACCCCAATGATGGCAAAGTCTATTTTAAACTTCAGTGGGCAGCATTAGCTCGCTGTAAGAGGGTCACTGCCAGTCTAGGAGCAAAACTAGAAAAACTCTTTCCATCCCATGGCCGCGCCAAAGGCTTGTCAAAGCCTTTGTTGATGCAGGATGTGGTTGGTCGTGTGTACCTTCGTATGGCTCTGTCTGGGCTGGAACCAAGGCTTAATAAGGTCTGTAGTATATGGAAAATACTGGAAGCTGGCTTAGCATTTGTTGATTCCACACCCTCTCCAGTGTTAAGATCTGTGAGGGCAGGCCTAATGGTAACCAAAGCCATAGTATCATTAATGACCTTGGCCTCTGCAAAAGGCTGCGCCCCAGTGGAGCTCTTCTCCAGTGCTTGGACCTGGAATGTACCAAAAGTGAGTAAAGAGTTGAAATCAGAACAGAAGACGGTGCCTCCCTCATCCTTGCTTAAAAAGTCTAAAGACTCTGACATGACTGACAAGACAAAGAAGGTCAAGGTTGTGAAGCCCAGGGTTCAAAAGACAAGCTGCTCAACCACAGGAAAGGGGCAGGTCCCCATGACCCCAGTAATGGTTAAATCAAAGCCCTCTGTTAAGGACCTCGACTCTTTTGACTTCAACACAGTGGTACCTACGTTGTCTTGTACTCCTGTTCAAAAGGTGAAGGCCTCTGCCTCAGTGCAGAAACCACCAAGGACTGCTCCTAGGCTACAGTTTCATGTGTATAAAGAGTTGTCACCGGTTCAAGACAAAGTCCAACCTGTGCCTGCTGCCCCCAGACGCACAAAGAAGTCACGCTTTAAGGTCAGAATCTAATCGGGTCTTATTGTTCCAAAGTGTCTATTGCTTTTTGTGTTTTTATTGAAAGTCTTCCTTTTTAATGTTTTCCTACAGGTGGAATTTAGCGATGAGAGTGATTCAGAGGCTAATACCCAAACAGAGCCCAAAGAAACAACAGATGTTCCTAAAAGGCGAGCAACTGGTAGAAGAGCTGTCCACAGCACTAAAACAGCCCCAGACCCACCTGCACAGAAGGTCCTACCTAAGAGGCAGGCTAAGAGCAAAAAGGGCACTGCTGTGCTTTGGGCCACATCTTCTGAGGACGATGAGACTTTGTGTCAGCCTGCTTCCATAAGACGAGGAAGAACCAGGAGGCAGCTGACAAGTACAGACTCAGCAACGGTGGAGGAACCTGATAAATTCAGGACCATTGAGGAAGAAACTAATGAAGTTCTGGACATGAGCACTGAACAGCTTAGGACATCAGACACTGAGACGGAACCCGTTCCTGCTTCAAGTAAAGATATCGGTGTGTATTTTGTGTACATGGTTTTTTTTTTTTTAAGCTTTATATACCTGCTATTAGCTTAAAATGAACCTTTACTATAATAACATTCCAAGTTAAGTTTCTGCCATTAATCACACTATAACCCCAAATTTCTTCCCAGATCACTGCTATTGTTTTGAAACTCAAAACTTAGTGATGTTTCAGGGATTAAGTTTGTGCCTTTGAGGTTGGCATTGGGCAGTATAATAAAATTAGTGCATGTAATATGTGAAGAATATCAGGAAATACACAGGTAATGGCAATAAGTTATGTAGATATTCAGCAAAATCTTGATAAATGCCAGAGCTCTAATCACCGTTTACTCTCTATAGACATTGATTCTGAGGTCCTGCGGAGAGATATGTGTTGTGATTTGGTGAGAGATGACTTGTCTGATCTGAGGAGCAGAGGTCATCTGAGTGAAGGTTTACAAACCCTGTCTCATTCAAACAACAGGCCAGGTGAGCTGCCATATGATGTATGCACCCTTATGGTATAATGTGCCATTTCATAGAATTATAACTTAAAATATATTATGTAGTAACAATGTTATTACAGGAGTTTAATGTAGGTATTATATTTGCAACATCATCTACATCAATGCCTCAACAAAGGAAACCTAACACTACAAACTGTATAAGATGGTTTGCTGTTTTTCAAAGCAATTCAGTTAATCAGCAGCTCCTTATCCAGTTTACTCAATTGTTCTTTCTCTAGACAATCTTTCTCTTGAGGATGTTCAGTCCCTACTCCACTCAGCTTGGCTGGGCTTTCAGCACTTCCCACCTCCCACCATCTACCCGACCCTCTGTGCTCTTTTGGCCTTGACCACAGGACAGCAGGACCCTGTAACTACAGCAGTGCTACATGCCCAGTCCTTAGGCATCACAAGCCGTCATCGCACCATCAGGCATTTAGCTAGTTGTCTCAAGTAAGCATATGTGTTGTATTTAAAGTATTAAGTCTTAATTTTCTAATTGCCAGCACATTGATTTACATAACAAGATTGGTAAAATGTTTATGCTGAGCATTCCCGTTGTTGTGATGTGTCAACAGAAAGCTGACAAAGTCGTCCAGTGAGTTGGCCGACAAGATGGATGCTCTGAGTCTAAATGAGCTCAATTCAACAGAGTCCAGGGTTTCTGAACAGCGGTTGTCCCAGTTGGAAAACATATTTTCCTTTCCTACTGCCGACTCCTCATCTTTTCCCCAGAGCCATTGCCATAGTTTTCTCCAACAACTTCAACATCTTCCCCCAGGTAAATAATAAATACTATTGTCTTTAGCAGCCAGATTCATTTTTTTTGTTTGAGTCCACTGAAACATGGTTTGCTCACTAGTAGTGCATAGTACCAGCTTCAAAAAATTCACTTAGAGAATACTTCTAGTGCAGTTGTTTCTAGCGAGGATTCATTTGGACCTTTGAAGTTAATGTGAGGATTTACATTTAGAAACGGCTAGATTTGGTGCTCCTGTCTCACTGAAACGGTTTGTCAGAGCTTGCTAGGCTGTATTTTAGCATCTTAGACCAATATCTATAATTTGTTTTGTTTATGTAGTTTGTTCATTTAATGTATAGGAAAAAAAACCTACAGTAGTCATGCTCTAGTCAGGGACAGATCTAGGAAATTTTGGGCACGGTGGCCAGGAGAGGGATGGCACATTTGAAATGCATGTTAAAGATAAATTAAACCCCTAGTTCAATAATATAATAAGCAATACATTAAGAATCAAATAGTTTATGTGTAAAAATGAGATGCACAGTGCTTTCTTTAGCTAACTTTGGCTCCACTCCTTATTTAATTTTTCATTCTTTTATTATTTTAAATAAATAAATAAGAAAAGAATGAAAGTCATGGTGCTTGCATGTTCCATGATCATGATCTCTCTTGATGCTTTCATACTTGATAAGCAGAATAATATCATTTTTGTGTACAGGTGTGACAGTGTGTATGATGTCTGTGCTTGGACTAAAACCTGGGGAGATGGGCAACAGCATCCTACTGTCACGTATTGAGAAGGGATCTGCCCCCATCACTGTTCACATCCCCACATGTAAACAGCAGGTGGTGGTGATAATTTATATTATTTTATGAGCCATGGTTTTATTTTTCTTGTGTCCAAGCATGTATTATGTAATGGAAAACGGTTCTAGTAGCCACAACCTTAAAAGCAGATATTTATTATATTGTAAACAAATACAATTCTAGCAGTATGGAGACCCCTGATGATTGTTAGTTCTTGCCCGACTGACAGGCTTATCAGCAGTAATAGGCTAGCTGTAAGTTACATTAAATTCTAATATTGCCATTATCTGACTCATAAGTAAAGGTGTAAAACTACTCCCTTTGTTTTCTGCCTTCAAGTGTCATTCCTTAAATTCAAGAGACACAAACCCAGTACTGTCATAAAATGCTATATTGTTTGGAAGAATTTTAAGCCACAAGCAGTAAATTAAAGTTTTACTCTTGTGGTTCCAGTGAAGTCCAGATTTTACCATCACCATCCCAGATAATGACTCTGACTTTCTTTGTCTGTGCTGTGCAGCACCCCATTAGTTGGCTGGTGCAGGAGATTGATAGTATTAAGGTGGAACAGAAGGCTGTGAGCTGTGTGTCTGAGAAAGCCAAGTGGTGGGAGGGCCGCAGGGCGCTTGACGCGCGAGTTGAGGTAAGTGGTGAGGAGTCTGGGGAGGCACAGACGACTTTGTAAAACCTGTATGATTCAGTTATGTTCACTTAGTCATACATCTCTCTTTAAACATGTAGGCAAAGAATCAAAAGTAATGCTTTTATAGTCAGTTATGTTTTGACTAAGTTATGCCAATTAAAATTTGGCTGATTATTTTGTCTAAATGCCCTCAAATCTTTCAGCAACTGTTGAAGGAAATGGAGGGGTTGCTCGGATGCTGGAAGAGCTTCCTTCTACCACATTCATCAGATCCTGAGCTCACCAAACAAGCTCAGCATGTTTGCAAGGCCTTGTCTGCCAGAGGAGTGACAGTCAGTGAGGAGATGCTGAAGGTGTGTGTTTATCTTTTTTTTTTTTTTTTTTTTTTTTTCATGGCTCCTGGAGCATCAGTGTCCAACCTTCCTGTCTCTCTGTTTTAAAAGCAGCTGGAGTTAGTACAGCAAAGCAACAACCACTTAAGCTTTGATTTGTTTCAGGCCGTGCTGTCTGCATCTCCTGTGCTTTCCCAAGAGGAACTCCAAAGATTTGCTCTGGGAGTGTCTCCACGTTGGGATACGGCGTGTGACCAGCTTCTCCAGACAGCTGTGTCCCGGCTCACAGATGGGGATGAACCCTTGGGTCATGTGGTTCTCATCCTGGACAAGGTTGGTTTCATCATCTACCAACTACTGAACTGATACTGATTTATACATAGAGGGGCTTTTTCAACTCAGACATCCAAAGCATTGTTACTTGTGCTTTTTTCCTATGCAGTATCTTCAGAAGTTGCCATGGGAGAGCATCTCCATCTTAAAGTCTCGCTCTGTCAGTCGCATGCCTTCTCTGTACTCACTGATTGGACTGGGCGTTCAGAAAGAGGTAAGATTAAACCCTGTCACTATAATATGAGCATGCAGATGCAAGTTATTTACTGACAGTTATGTTCAGTGGTTTCATTATTTATATCTTCTCTTTTAGACTGATTCTGAGTCCATATTGAATCAAGGTGTGGATAAAAGCAAGGTGTTTTATGTGCTGGACCCTGACGCCAATTTAGAGGACTCAAAGGACAGATTCAAGGAATGGTTTAGCAGGTGAGAACAAAACTCATGATAGTTACAGGAAGCATTTGATTTAGTAATATGCATTTATGCCACTGGTTCATTTCATTCCCATTTGATATTGTCCTTTCAATAGACTGGACTGGGAAGGTGTGTGTGGAGTTGCTCCTGACTCAGGTCAGCTGGAAGAAGCAGTTGCAACAAAGGATCTATACATGTGAGTTTGTGATTGCCTATAAAGAATCCTGATAAGGAGAGGAAATACTGGTTACACTTATCAAGAATGTTAGATTTTAATGTCAGATGGTGATAAAATTTTTATTTTAGAATGTCATTGTCATATTATAAAGAACAAATAATTCAATAAACATATTTAAGACTAATTTAATTCTTTCATTGGTTTTCATAATGTTTGTTTTAAACTGGCTATTAAATCCCAGATCTGTTTCATTTTATTTTTGTCCATGTGCCTCTTTCTGTCAGCTACGTGGGTCACGGTGCAGGCGCACGGTTCCTCGACAGCCAAGCAGTGCTGAAACGGCAGGTGAAAGCAGCTTCTCTGCTTTTTGGCTGCAGTAGTGCTGCTCTGGCAGTGTGTGGGGATCAGGAGGGACAAGGCATCATTCTCAGCTACCTCATGGCAGGCTGGTGAGAGAGCTGTCTTTTCACATTCAAACACTTGCAGTTAAATGCTTAATGCTGTCCTGTTCACTGCATACCAGTCTGTAAAATCTAAAGGTATTAGTTGCTTCATATCTCAGTGTTGTAGAGTAACAAAAGCTGCCAAAAAATAAATCACTGAGTTTTGCTTTAAAATTATGCTTTGACCGTTTAAATCAACAAATTGATCAATTGCATTTACCACAATACAAGGAATATTTATGTGGAATCTATATAATTTCACTGGACACACCATAGATCACTGGGTCAGTCGATTTTGGTAGTCTTGTCATGATTATTATTTTCCTCCTTAGTCCCCTTGTTTTGGGAAATCTGTGGGATGTGACGGATCGGGATATTGATCGCTTCACTAAAGCCTTGTTGGAGACCTGGTTGAATGCTGGATCTGGAGCTTCCCTTCTGGATTACATGGGTCCATCACGCCAGGCCACACACCTGAAACACCTTATAGGAGCTGCACCTGTCATCTATGGCCTACCAGTCCACCTGCAGTAGGTGGGCTGCAAGCTAAAATAAAAAAACAGGATGCAAGCAGTGCAGTATCCAGACATTGTTTTAGCACAGGAGGATGACTTGAACATTAAGTTTAATACTTTTTTTTTTTTTAATTTTTCAAATAAGTGCTTTTTTATTTTTTGAATAAGTGCTTTCTTTTTTAAACTGATTCTTCCATTTTTAAAACTGTGTTGCTATAGTGCAAATGGTTTTAAATGTCTTGCAAGATTTTAAGTATTTTAATGTATCCTTAATATGCTGATTAAACACTTTTGAATGAATGTTCTCAAAGTCGGTCTGTGTCATAATCACATTTAAACCAAGAGATAGGAGAAGCTTGAAAATGGTATTTACAGTATCTTCTAGAAGGAATAAAAAGTTCACTGTGGGAACAACTTTGACTGTTTATATCTGCTTCTATCAATATTAGTATAGCTTTTTATAATCCATATTGGCATTACAGTAAATATCTCTGGCTGTTGTAAAAGATATTAACATTTGAAGAATGTTCTCACATTTTTATAACCTGTATAAAATTAGCTGTAGATGGATTTGCTCCAGATATCCTACAGTTTAGGATGTGACTAGCGCAGTTTTTGCTGTAATTTGGATGAGTGGGTTTAATTTAAATGTGGAAAATTAAAGTGAAAAGATTTTTGAAAAACTACATAATTTCTCTAATTTGAAAGTGCACATAGACGTTTTGGCTGAATTGTGATTTTACTCATCAAATAGTAATTTGCAGTTTTGTTTAAAACCTTGTGCCAGTTTTAATTGTTTTTGAGCAGTGCCAGTTCAATCTGCATTTCCTTTTAAAGTTTAAGTAGCACTTTAAATTTTGAAAGTGTGTGTGTATATGTATGTTACTGTATGTCTCTTTTTGTGTGTGTGTGTGTGTGTGTGTGTGTTTGTTATATATGTATGCACAAATGTAAAATTATTTTAAACAAACGTGAGCCCTGGACTGTCATATCATATTTTATGCATTATTTATACGACTGACCTATAAAGTGAGAAAATGTTGGTGTTTAGATCCTCCATTAACCTCTAGAGTCCTGAGCTTTGGAAACCCAAGCTGTGCGGTCCTCATATGAGGACGCAGGGACTCTAGAGGTTAAATTACTAGCAACCATTAAAATGTGAAAGGATTGAGTACGTTAGAAACATGTTCATATCCAGGCTTTGGGTGACAGGAGCAGCGTGTCTACCCATAGGGGGCGATGTGTCCGACTGCTGACCGTCCTTAGCCCGGAAACACGGTCACAAAGGGTCATTGACATCGCGCTTCCAACATGGCGGTGAACCTAACAGACCTCTCCCTGCCTCAGCTAGAGGGACTGAAAACCCAGTTAGATCAGGTAATGCCAAAAGCTTTCATATATGTCAGTTCTGAATGTTTTCTTGGGCATCGACTTAACGTGGGCGATAATCTGAATGAGTACGGCACGGCGGGATAGTTAACTCTGGCTAGCACCTCTGAAGCTAACGGTAATGAAATCAGTCTCCCATTGTGTAATGTTATCTGTCCCGCATCATTTCAGGCATTTCAACAACACCTAAGGTTACGGAACTAGCTACATTTGCCAGTACAACATGTCCTAAAATAATAGGTGTGTGCATATTTTGTTATTCTTATGATAAATCGATGCCTTTGAGTCTCGTGTTGTAAGGGGCCTTAGTTGACCCTAAGAGAGACCGTTTTCTATAATGGTAAACAACGTCTTTGAGCGTTTGACATCTTGTCGACAATAAAGGTATTAAAACTAGATTTTGATAGTCAGCTAACAGGTTTTGCATGCAGTGAATTTGATCACTTGGTATTCTAACTCTGTCCTCTCTTGGTTTGTAATGTTTTGCAGGAGATTGAGTTCCTGACGTCTTCAATAGGTCAGCTCAAGGTTGCCCAGACCAAGTATGTGGAAGCGAAAGATAGTTTGAATGTCCTGAACAAAAACAATAAAGGTGAGTAAAATGTATTTTATTATGTTATGAATCACCAGGCCTTTAACAGGGGAATTGATTCATTAAAACCACTTGTAGCAAAACAGAGTTGTTTAGATTGCTGGTATAAATAAGACTGTCTTGCTCTGTATGTTTTAACACACATTATGTCCTAACAGATGTAGTGTCTCCCTTTGATGATTCATCTGAAAATGATTATTTATAAAACTTTTCCCTTTCTCTCCCTTCTCTTGCAGGAAAAGAACTGCTCGTGCCGCTTACCAGCTCTGTATCCTTCCTTTTCAGTGGGACAACCAATATTTTGCTGTTTTGTTTTTTTGTTTTTTTTTTTTTTTTTTGTGATGTGCTTCATAAGACATTCTCTTAAGATATACAGTACATGCTTTTCCTTGACGTTACTTCATCACAGATGTACGTCCCTGGAACATTAAATGACGTAGAACATGTTTTGGTGGATGTGGGGACAGGATATTATGTGGAAAAGGTAATTATATTTGCCTTAGAAAGACTAAGTAAATTCATATTTTACAAAATGCTGTTTTCAAAAACAGAATATTCTTATGTAACTTTCATCTCCACTCCTGTATTTTTCTGTCTCTGTAGAATGTCGAAGACTCAAAGGCATTCTTCAAACGCAAAATAGACTTCCTCACAAAACAGATAGAGAAAATTCAGCCACCCCTTCAGGAAAAACATGCTATGAAACAAGGTAAGCCCAGCTAGATTTTTCATACATACAGTATTTCCTACTTATTTTTTTTCTGTTCAGTCCTATATAGTTAACTTGTTTAGGGATTTGTGTCAGGTGCTCTATGCAAGTATTTGTCTGTGGCATATTTTCCTCTATAGAGAATGAAGATGATATCACACTGTTTTAAGTTTGAGTAAATGTGCCTTGTTTGGAGCATTGTTATCACTCAAACGTATGTAGTGTATGTAGCTCCAAGTTAACTTAAAAATAATTAATAAATACTATCCCATAGAGCTACATACCTTATTCAAACATCCACCTTATTGTTCAGTTTCAGCACAGACAGGACAGAAATTGATTCATCTGCGGTGTTTGTATTATCTGCTGATAGCTGCTAGCTAGAGCTCAGTGTGCAGTCATTTTTGAGTCTGTTGCTCTCATAGATGGGATGTCAAGGTCCGCTCTGAGTTAGTTACAGTCAGTTAAGGTTATCCATTTTGTAAGTCAGTAAAGTCAGATCTGAACAATTTAAGCAGGTGTGCATGTAAATACAGCATGCACCCTCATCCCAACATTTAACACAGCATGACAAACCTTCACATTTTCTCTGCTGGATTTGAAATGAATAGGTTAAATTGTCAATGTGTAGTATTAAGTTAAGGTGTTCACATCTACTATATGTCCTGTGAACAGTTAAGGAATTGTAGCCATTTCTATGCATAGTATCCTTGGTTAACCAAAAACATGCTACGATACAAATGAAATGCAAAACATGCTGAATGCACCACATATAAACTATATTTCATATGCAACCATAAACTCAGCTTTTTTTCCGGAAGATATTCCACAACTACTTAACGAATACATTGTGGTTTGTTTTGCAGCTGTGATTGAGGTAATGAATGCGAAGATCCAGCAGTTACAACAGAGCCAACAGGCATCACAGATGGTTGGGACCACCAAGGCTTAATGAGAATACCTGCTTGAACTCTTCATGATTGGTGGAAGGTTTTAATTTGTGCACAAAAGCTTCCTTCTGCTGTTGTCAGCCAAAAAATGCCCCCCATTAACCTGATGAAGTTAATTTTCATTTATTTAATTGAATTGGGTATCCTGTTAGTTTACATGATTAAAAAGGTTGCTATGCATTGAAGGAATGTTTAAGTTTCGTCATTGCTGTGTATTCATCTGCAGAATGCACCACCACCAAGAATGGTTTTGTAGTTTATCAGGCTTTTACAGTCTTTTTACAAATGTTGGCAAACTAAATCCTCTTCAGCACAATGTTTAAAACCCTGCACACAGGCTAGTTTAGACTACTCTGGTTGAATGTGGAATTATATGATAGTTGATGGACAAAGAGTGTGTACATCCCTACAGTCTGGTAAAGTGTAATCAGCCAGTGAAAGTGAAATCACCTGGATCCTTATTATTGCATGAAGTGATGGCATGACTTCAGAACAAGAGAAGACCCTTCACAAATCACTTCTAGTTCAAAGATAGTGTCTTAATGTTTCAACCAAGATTGGTCACTGTAGCATTAACCTGTCATACAACTGTTTCCTCACACAAGTTCCAAGACTGAACTCAAACCATCATTCATCATTGGACAACATTTAATTCCATACTTTAACAATGAATTTTAGATCATGTTTGGGTCATAATAAAATGTCATAGATGGATCAAACATTCTTTTAATCAGTGAGTCTTACTAAGTTTGAGATATTTTTCAAGAGAGACTTAAGGACAAACAATTACACAGCCACACAATCAGCATATTAATAAGCTTTTTAAACTGCAATTTGTTGTGGTAAATCATAAACTGCTGTACTTCCGCTGTTTTGGCACATGATAAATTCCTGTGCTTGTCAAAATAATTTTGTCAGTATGATTAATAAAAGAATCAATATTTGACATGCTCCATGGTTTGATAACAGTTGTAATCAATGCACAAATTTTACTTGTAATGGGGTATGCTATTTATATAGTATGGTATGGTATTGTATTAGTAGCTTAGGGGATGTGAATACTTCTTAAACGCTGGCAGCCAGTGATAACTGTTTGAAATAGGACAGATATAACTACAGATATTGATCAGTTTAAGTATACGCCAACTAGCTTCGTGTTCTAAGTCGTTATTACAAGTTCAAGGAGAGTCTCTGGAGTGACTCTGTTCCTCCGGCCGCACTGTGCCCTCGCTGCGGTCACGGTCAGAGTCGTTGCTACGTTGGAGGCGGAGTGTAGCCTGTTGTTGGGACGGAGGGTGGCAGACAGAGGACGTAGCTGTCAGATGCTTGAATAAGAGTTGAACGGAGGGACATAACGTTAATTCTTACAATGGTAATCGGTTCTTACTAAAACAGTTAAACAAGTGTAATAATTTAGGAGCCTTTCTAAAGTTGTGTTCAGCGTGGACGGCGCCGTTTGTACGGTCGTCGTGTAAACAGCGTTAGCAGTTTCCGGGGAGACGGTAGTTAAACAAAGAGGGACGACGAACTACTCTAGATAAGTGCGGCCAATATTTTGTAAGGGTTGACTCATTTGCTGGACGATAGAACCGACAGGGCAATTAAATCTCCCGGAACTGAAGAGGACATCGTAAGAAGACTACGGTCAAAACAGCATGGTGAGTTTTGGGCCTGGGTGCGGGCACGCTAGCTAACACGCCACAACCTGTTTGCATCCATTCTCCAGTTGCTGTCTGAATAAGTTTGACCAAACCGCTTTACGCCATTGTAGTTAATTTCAGTCAAAGAATCGCTAGTCATGTGCCATTGCCAGCCTATCAATTAAGTTAGCCGGTAAAAGGCTTTAATTGGTTTGCTAGTTGGCTAAAAAGCAGGTGTTTATGATGTCGCTAATTAACATATGCCACGTTAGACGGCTAAACAACTAGCAAACAAGCCCACCCTGCCAACACGTGCTTTAAAACATGTTGAATGGTGGGAGACCGTGACATGTCGCTCCAGCAAGTTTCGCTAAGTGTATAATGTCTCTCCCTTACGTTGCATGTGGAGCAACTAATAATTAACACGTGATTTGTGTTAACGCTGAGTGTTAGCTGTTACACAACTGTTGTTATCAAAGAGTTCCATGATAAAGGTCATGGAACTACGCCGTGGAGATGTTAACATCTGAAGGAGATTTAGTATCAACTAGCTAACTTCACCCACGAACGTTCTGTATCGCTAAACTATGTTTACCCTAAGAGAAACTAGCATTTTAAAGGTCGTTGTACGGGCACACCGGCGCCATGTGCTCTTTCTTTGGGTCCCTCAAAAGTAAAGTGTCTTTGCTTCATTAAAAACCCAGAGCCCCTGAATTGTAACAACATTTCGGACACCAAACTGGTTGGACTGAAATGCTGTGCGACTTTGATCCATGTACAGGTTTAGCATCAAAGGTGTAAGCGCACTCGAGATTTTACAATGGATGACAGGTCAACGTGCCTTGTCGAAGTCGCGCTGACTCTTAGAGTCGGTCTGCGCCATGTATGGTTTCATGTGTCCGTTTGAGGGGCGGGCTCAGAACGCGAAACAGCCAATGAAAACTCCCTGAGCTGGTGTGACGAGCCGAGGCCTTGCGGAGACAAAACTATATAGAGGTTCTTGGATGAGCTGCTTTGATTCATTAAATTGGATGATACATTTGAGCAGCCAGTTTTTCATATTGGGGGTGTAATTGGGTTATTTTCATGTATGATACAGGGGTGTATACTAGCATGTATGAACGCTTTGCAACGTAAAAACTTGATACTTTTTCATTACACTGTGCTGTTTTCTTATTTCTTTACTGAGTTCATGTCTGGCCTTTTGTATATATATGGTAAAAAACAAAACAAACATGTTAATTACATGTCATTGAAGGTTAAGGTAATACTATGGCATTTTATTGTTCCCTGAGAAACTGTCCTTGTTTCAAAGGACTTTTTCTAATATTTGAGTGACTGGTGCCAATCCGATTATCTTGTTTGGTACATTGCAACATTGACTTGTGATAACTTGTACTTTTGATAGTTTGTTTTGTGTGGTAGGAAGGTGCTTTTTCAGTGATAACACTAACACTAGGCTATACACTGCACAACCCTGTACATGTTAATTGATGTGCATCAAGTGCAAATCAGTTGCAGGGAAAACAGCTCTGCACATTACTGTCTGACTTAACACATTACATCTCATCATGTAAAAGTGCACTGATTAAAAAATAATCACAGCATTGTTGTCTTAGTGTAACATTTTATAATGTTTGAACATAAAAATAGTGGATTACTCACAGTTTATTCTTCTAATAATGCAGGTTACCACAAACGCAGCAGGTCTGAATCCCAACGCTAAAGTGTGGCAGGAGATGCCTGCCCACCAGTATGACATGCCAGAGGATTCTCTTTGGCTGCAGACCTACCCTCCTCCCATTGAGATCACAGACGGTATGAGCTTATTTGGTTCTTAGTGTATCGTCTTTCTTCATTAATATAAATCAAGACCCTGTTTATTACCAGGAAATACGTTATGTACTGACGACCTGTACTGTTTACATTCGCAGTTTGCACATGCAGAATTGCACATTGACTGTTGACTACTGCACATGCAGCTCCCATGTAGCACACATTCTCTTATTATATTCATATATATTTTTATTATATCTCTGCATTTGCTGCTTAAAGTGCCTTAGATTTTGTGTTACTTATTCATCCACTTTATATTTCATTGTATTTTGTGGCATTCATGTGGACGGCAAAGTAAGAATTTCATTGTACAGGGAAACACGTTTCCCAACTGTGCATATGATGAATAAACACTTTGAACTTTTAACACAAATAGAGACGTACTGTATTTATTAAACATTGCCTAAGATAATTGCATTTAGACATGGTGTATGAGGAAATCATTGTAAGTTGTTGTCCTCAGGGTTGCGCAGAAAATGCAAAGCATGACAAATCTTGTTTACAGCATTATGTCATTGTCTAAACCTGACAGTTACTTCACAGCCATTTTGTTACTCTTTTTCTCTTCTGTCTTAGGTTACTCAGATGTTCCCTCTACAGGAGATAAAGGAAATGGCATTGAATATCCTGACAGCACTGCTGACTATGCCCCTGTATTCTCTGAGGGAACTGTGAATGGCATCGACAGCTCTGACTTAGGGTATTTGGTCTTAGACTCACCTTGTGAATCAGCTGTAGATGGTGATGTTTCCAACGAACAACCGATGTCTGAGGAGACCCTAAGAGAAGCTTTGAAGAAACAGCTTGAGTTTTGTTTTTCTAGGTAAGTAATATGCAGAATCACACTAGGTGGAGCACATGTATGTGTGCACACAGCTACAAGAGCAGCATCAGTAATGAGTAAATGAAATGACTTGGAATATGTTTCATAACTGTGTAAAACCAACTATTTTCTCTGAAGTGAACCCATTTGGGAGCATGAATCACTGGCCTAACATCCATGGACTGAATGCAGAATGATTTGCCTCTACTCAAAGGCTCTGAACAGCCGTACCTTTTTACAGCATCTGACGTAAACAAGAGTCAGCTGTGCATGCACAAGATCTCTGGATATTTTTAACAAATATCAGAGTCTGGTGTTTCAGAATGAGGAAAGAAGGCATCCAGTGCTGCGATGAGTTTCCCAGATGTCTTTTTGTTCTTAAAAACAATGGTGGTCTGTGGCACAGATGAATAAGATAATCCAGGACTGACAGTTATCAACAGTGAGCAGAGACAATTCATTGTTAGTTTAATCTCTTTATGGGGAGTGTTGAAAATACTTATTATAGAAAATGGCCGGCCTTATCCTTTAGCTGATGCGCCAAATGAATCGTATACCCTTGCATGTATGACACTGATCATTACTTGATAAGATGGGAAGAATTTATTTAACTGGAAAGGCCTGAAACAATTCGTATATGATGAATAGAGAGTTTGATGATTTAAATCTTTTTCTATCAGAGTTGCAATTGACATATTCAGAATTGTTCTCTTAATGTGGTAGTTCTGGTAGGAAAGGTATAGAGCAAAGGCATTTTGAGTTTTTTTTTTTTTTTTTTTTTTTACACCAGTGTTGTTTAATGTATTTGCAGAGAGAACCTGTCTAAAGACCTGTACCTGCTATCCCAGATGGACAGTGATCAGTTTGTTCCAGTTTGGACCATTGCATGCATGGAGCACATCAAAGCCCTTACCACTGACATGGACCTCATTCTGGATGTACTGCGAGGTACTGTTCCTGCTGTTCTCCCTGTATTTGTGAGAAATGCTTGCACTGACTCTTTAGTTTACTGACAGAATGCATGTACAGTACATAATGTTTTGAACTTAAATACTTTTTATAATGTAAGCAGAGTGGGGTTTGTGTGAACAGCGCATGTCTTAAGTGAGGAGTCTGATGCAGTTGTAATTTACGGAGCTGTCCTTGGTGAAAACGCGACAACCTTTCTCAAGAGCATAAAAAATTGAAACACTGATTATTTAAAACATGAGATGTGAGAGGCTATTGTTTTGAACAACCACCTAGTAAACTGATCACAGCAAAAGAGATATCAGAGGCTGACTCACCAGAGACACTGGTAACAGAAAAATGTAGTGTGTCACTACTGTGATCACCATAACATGCTGCAAAGACAGCGGGTTTCTGCTGATGGGTGATGTTTTGCACGTTATTTCCTGGGTCTGTTCTGTGAACCATTTTCACAGAGAGGGAAAAACTGAAGTGTTTGTAGCTTATCTGTCAATAACTGTCTGTGGTTTTATTAAAGTTCTCCTAAACAGGGTTTTGGGTATGCTGGTAAGGACACTAAGAAAACTTGCCAGAATTTGACTTGCTTGTGTGCTTGTGGTTAGTTACAAAAAACAGTACTGACACAAACAAAAGATAAGTCTTCAGATGTGTACCAGAGAAAGAGGCATATTTTCCAACAGTATGTTATATAATACTATGAGGGGCTGTTAAGTTACTTCCAGATGGTGAATACAGCTACATTTACATTGTCGTTGTTACAGCTTCTCCGATGGTGCAAGTTGATGAAACTGGAGAGAAAGTTCGTCCAAACCACAGTCGCTGCATCATCATTCTGAGAGAGGTGCCAGAGACTACGCCAACTGAGGTAAATGCAACCATATACTGCAAAATGCCAGTCCTCCATAATATCCACACATCTCACTATACAGTAAATCCCACATAAGAGGAACTGCCACATTATTGTGCTAGCTTACACTGATGATGAGCCAGAGGTGCTGACAAGAGGTCAGTGACTCTCAGTACTGCATTTTGATGTTGAAATTTGGTGAATTTGTTGTAGTAGGTTGTTTGAGTCAAATGCATAATATGTGCCTCCTTCTGTTTTGCAGGAAGTGGAGGCTCTTTTTAAGAGTGAAAGCTGTCCGAAAGTGTTAAGTGCTGAGTTTGCACACAATAGCAACTGGTACATTACATTTCAGTCAGATATGGATGCACTCCAGGTATGTCTATGCATTGATAAACATGGCATATCTTGATTTTGATTTGATTTGATTTATTCTTTCAAGCATGTAGAAACAGTTGATATGACAACACACATAATCCAATATCAATTTGCTTATACCTAATACATGCTTGAATGGAGTAGGAAGAAGTCAGACTTATCCAGTCCTACCCCATGACATCATCTTACCATCATTGGTTTGCAAGCAGTAATTGCTTCACTTCTACCACACAAGTATTATAGTAAAAAAGAATATACAGTGTTAACATTCTTACATAATTACATTCTTTCTACACCACACAAGTAATATACTAAAAAATTATTACAAAGTGTTAACATTCATACACCACACCCACAATTGTCCATGTAATTAATCATTAATCCTGTTCTTGCATATATCTTGATTGACACATACCTTTATATTTATGTTTAAACTCGTCAATTCTATTACTATTTTTTATGTCTACACTTAAATTATTCCATAGTTTTACCCCACTTATGGAAATACAGAATCTTTTTTTGGTTGTACGTATAGCATGAATTTTTAAATTTAACTGACCCCTTAAATTGTATCCCCCTTCCCTTTCATTAAATAGTTTTTGAATTCCACCAGGTAATAAATTGTTCCTGGCTTTATACATAAACACAGCAGTCTTGTATCCCACTAAATCGAAAAATTTTAACAATTTAGGATCAAACTATGTATTTTTCTAAAGGTTGAACACAATTAAGTTTTGTTAGACTGCTTATTTTATAAGTGTCATTTCTAAATGTCTGTCAACATCAAACATTTCCAATATAGACTAACTACTCATTAGATGTGGCTGTAAATGATGTTATGGTAGAGTTTATCAGCAAATTGTGTAACAACACTCGGGAGAACACAAAACGCAGGCAGCTCGGTTTCCCTATAATGCTATAAAAAAAAGATCTGTGCATCGAGCATTTGCATGATACTCTGGATCACCACCAAAATGTAATGGATTGTTCCGTGAGTCATACCCTACCTCTCAAAAAAAGTTCATCAAAAGTTAAAATTAGAAACGTAACAAAACACATGGGACAGCTGAATTGGTCAACCAGTCTTGTAATTACTTTGTTTTGCGTATTTCCAGTCTTTGCCAGTGCTACTGAAGCAGCAAGAGGGAGAGAAAGAGACGTAGGAAAGGGGGACAGCAGGGGAGCATGCTGTTTATAGGAGAGCCAGCTAGTGCAGAAGCTACAAGAAGGGGCAATAGCTACACTGTACAGTGTTAATATTTAATTTTCACTTCTTTTTTTTTGTCCTCAGGCTTACAGATACCTAAGAGAAGAAGTGAAAGTCTTCCAGGGAAGACCAATCATGGTGAGTTCTGTCACTGAAATGCATAACATGCAGTTGACTTTACTCAGTAGGCGACATGGTGTTTGTCCCATCTTGGACTGTTGGTTCTGCTTTAGACACTAGTGTGGAGCCCACAAAGCCTCGATTCACAAAACTGGTTGTGTTGTCAGCCGGCACATCACTACTTTTCTAGGATGTAGTAGGCTGAGTGGCTAGGCTGTAGCCTAAGGGTGACCTTGGGATTTGTGTGCACAGGGGTTTGATAAGCATGGAAGAAATCCAGTGGTCTCTGCTTCAATATTTGTCAGAGCTGTCACATACCCATGTCTCCAGACAGTTTTGTTTTTCTTATTTCAATGTGACGTTTACTTTGCATTTCAGGTATCTTAAGAGATTCCTTTTCAGATGGACTTTGATTTTACATTATGTTCTCTGTTTTTACTCTGACTCATTAATGGTCCTATCTAAGCCCCAGTGATGATCAGTATCGCGCTTGGAAGGACCCATATGCACTGCAGCTGGCAGGGAGGAACTTCTCCTTCTGTATCTCTGCTTCTACACTACATCTACTTTCCCTCATCCTCATTTACTCTCCCTCCCTCACTCATACCTACCCCAACCCTTCTCTTTTCTTCTTGTCAGTACAGTGTTCTATGGCCTAATGACCGTGAGATTATGAGATCTGAGGGGACTAAAGGACAATAGCAGTGTACTATCTAGAGCAGGGGAGGCCAATTCCAGTCCTCGAGGGCTGCTGTCCTGCTTGTTTTCCAACTATCCCTGCCTGACCTGCTGCTGATTACCTGGCTCAGGTGTGTTAAGCCAGTCAGAAGCTGGAAGATACCATTTCACTTTATCTTTCCTCACTCCACTTTCATCTAAGATGGTATCTTCCAGCTTCTGACTGGCTGAACACACCAGGTAATCAGCAGCAGGTCAGGCAGAGATAGTTGGAACACAAGCAGGACAGCAGCCCTTGAGGACTGGAATTGGCCACCACTGATCTAGAGGTTACCCATATTAGCTGGCTTCACAACAAAGAGTTGACATTTTCAACATTTCATCGATTAGTTACTGGCTGTTGGTTGTGCAGCCTATCTTTGCTGATGAAACAGTTGCCAAACCAAGTATCCAAAAGCTAGCCATGAGAACGCCATGGCAGCTGATGGAACAGCTGCACCAGCGCTGAAACCCCGTATGTGTGTGTGTGTGTGTGTGTGATGACACTACCAGCCAGTAGTCAAAAATGAGACGGCTTTCATAACAGAAATGTTGATTTAGAAAAGAAAACCTGGAAGATGTGCAGCCCCTAGTACCATCACAGGTGCAGTGGTTGCTTCACATCCTTAACCACAGCAAACTCACCAGACCTACCCTTTCCCTTCTTTTCTCTCCCCCAGGCTCGCATTAAAGCCATTAATACATTCTTTGGTAAGAACAGCTTCTGCAATGTGAACTCAAATGTGTACAGTCAACATGCCCAGCCACAGGCCCAGTATGGTTCCCCGGTCTACGTGCAGCAGGTGTACAGTCCTCAGCAGCAGTACTCTGTTTATCCTGTGGTGTCTCCCTCCTGGAACCCTCCAGTCATGCATTACTTTGAAACGCCACTGGTGAGAACTGAATACACTGTTTCAATCACAATGTAGCTTTCAGAATGTGATTTGACTGTCCAGAAGCTTCTAAAATATATTTTAAAGTAGTTAACTCTGATGTCATAAGTGAAATGTATTAGGATCATTGAAACAGTCTAGTATAAAGGTGTGTTTGGACAGTCAATGCACTATTATCAGCTTCAGTCCAAAAAAAGACGAGAGAATGAGGTTTTGTTTTTGTTTTTTGTTGTTTTTGAGCACATTGTAATTTGTCTTCCTGCTGCCTTTGTGACATCTAGGCACCTTTTCCTAATGGATTCATGAATGGTTATGGCAGTCCTGGGAACTACAAAGCAAACTCGAGCTCTGTCAACACCCATCGACCCATGAGCAAGAACCGGTAAATACATCAGTGTTATAATAATGACTCTCTTATATTCACAGTAATGCTGTCTGGTTATAAACTTTGTACCAATGACTGAAGTACAAACAAAAAAGCCCTGCAGTGAGCAAGTACTGCTAATTCTGATGAAAGTGGTCTTTTTATAAGTTTTTACAGCTCCATCTTAATGTCAGAGATACTATTTATACTTTCATGGTACAGCTGACATTCAGTAGTTTAAGAAATGTGTGTCCCTTGTGAATGGTCAGAAACCACATGAAGGGTCACCATAGGCCTGCTGACATACCCCGGCCGCCAGCTTTGGCTCCGGGTACCTTGATGGATGGCCTGTCTGGTTCCCTGAGTCCACAGTTCATCTGGACACCAGGGACATCCTCTGGCACCCCATCAGATCCAGCCTCTCTGCCTTCCTTCAGCAAAGACCCTTTCTTACTGGCTACCATATCCAGTGGAGATCAGAGTGGGGGTGGACGTGGCAGGTGACTGAATATTATCCTGTTAACACTATGGAGATGCAGATCAATAATGAAAAACATGACTGTCAATGGATAATGTACACATTGAAGTGTGTTTCTGTGACTTGCTTTTTTCCCCATGTCACTTTATAACTGAGATAGTTTGAGAGATTAATAATGTCTGTTCACACAGACGTGGCTCGGGTATCAAACATCTTTTTGGTTTTCATCCAGTTATGTAAACATGCAAGTCATTGCAGTCTGTGGTGTTTTTTGTTTTTTAAAACGTGAGTGTAAAAATTCTGATGTGAACAATGTCTTAATTTTAGGAGAGGTATCCACAGAGGCATGAGGCGGAAAAGAGAAGATGAACATACTACAGTCAGTATATTTGCTCTGTTGCTCCCACTTTTTTCCTTCAATGAAATGTGATTCCTGCTTGTTTATTGTTGTCTATAACTTTTGTGGCAAGTTTTGTTGATTCTTTCATCAGTCTGACTTTTGCTAAAACAAACATTGCAGAGGACTGTCCCTGTGTTGGAAGCCAAGATACCACCTCCGAAGTTTGACCTGGCACCTTCCAATTTTCCTCCATTGCCGGGATCTGTGCTCAGTGTGCGGGGAGAAGCCACACCAGAGAAGCGCCTCTCTGATGTTGTACGTGGCCTAAAGGTTACCAACAAGGTCATTATCTTGTCCCCTGTGACATTGCACTCTGGAGACTCTTATAAGTAGCTTTTACATTATATTTTAAAATCTTGATTATTTCAGGAAGTGAGCCAAGAGGTTGGGGAGACCCAACATAAAACGGTTTCAGAAGATTCTGTGACCTCGGCTGGTAAACCTACTTCTGTGCCACCAACACTCTCGAGGTAAAGTTTACTTAGAACAACAAAAAATGTCTGTGAATAACAAGGGAAACATGGAAATGACACATTACTTTTTATGTTGATCCAGAGTTTCTTCTTCAGTAAAGCAAGAAGAGGATAAAGCAGAGGGAACGATTTCCTCATCTGTGTCTCAAGCAGCTCCAGAAATTGCCCCTTCCACCTGCAGCCAGGTTGTTTCTCCACAGTCACCCTTTCCATCTCTTCCAGATCCAACACCAGAGCCAGTAAGAACTGCTTTCCTCATCTGAAGTGCCACATTAGTTCACTGTAATATCTGTTGATTTAAAATCATTTTAAGACCCCCATAGAATATGCATGTATATTGTTGCAAATGACATGAAACTTGCATGAAGTTGAAAGAATATTCCATTAAAAATCTGTCTTCAGTGTTGCCTGTGGGTTTAATCAGTGACTCTGTAAAGTTTGTAGCTTGCTCCTTTGTGCAAAATAGATGACAGCTGTAGTCAGCTTGAATTCACAGCATTATTAGTGGATTCCAGTTGTATACTGGAGAGCTAAAAAGAGGGCAAACATAAAAAGTTCTACAGGGCAAAGTGCTGTTGTAGCATCGCTCACCTTCTCTGCCATTGATCTTTATAATCAGCATGTGAATATCCATCTGTTTTTCTCTAACCAGGAGCCAAGAAAGCTCAGCTATGCAGAGGTGTGCCAGAGATTGGCCAACGACCCGCCACCAGTACAGATGTCATCTCCCTCACTTCTTCCCTCTTCAGCCAGCCAGCCCCTCCAAGAGCTTAAGGTCAACAAGGTTGAAGAGCCTCGGCCCAGCTCCAGGCACACAGCAGAAAACCCAGAGAAAGCCGAAAACAGCCGCCCCCCTCGCCAACCGTTACGCCCCTTCAGTGGGGCAAATGGCCAAGCCAGAGTCAGAGGTGCAGGGCTGAAGTTGCGGGAGCATCAGAGAAGCCTGAATTCTGGCAAGCAGTTCTCGCCACAGTGCGGAGCCAGAAAGAGTGGCAAGGAACAGAACATTCCCCCAGCATCGCCAAAATGACTAAAGGAATAAGGAACCCTTAAAATATGGACTAAAACAGAAGTATAAACATATATGTAAATATATTTGTAAATAGACAGATAAATATATTTCTTTTGACAGAATGTGTCAATTAGTCTCAACATTATTGCAGATCTAAAATTATTTGGAAAGAATAAATAGATATTCCTTTTTGGAAAATGCATATCTGCTGAAAGAGACTTTTAGGGTGATGAAACATACTTTCTTTAAAGTAAGATTACCATAACATCAAAAGATGCATCCCTAAACAGGCTAAATCTGTTGTGTGTTAGAGAGAGGGAGAGAAAGAGAGTACGTGTTTGACAGTGGAAGGAGGAGGTATGATGTAGCCTAACATTAACAAGTTTTGTCAACCTCAAATGACAGTAAAGCACATTTGACTTATCTTGGTGGTTGTTTGCATGTGATTCTTTAAGCTTTGTAGCAAATTTGTTGTATGTCAAAATCAAGGATATCTGATTATGAAATAGATGTCAGATCCACTGCAGGGTAGCGAATGATGCCATGCGTCATTAAGTATAGATATTTGTGAACAAGAATATTTGACAGAATTCTCTTTTGTTGTACATTTTTCCTTTACAAATGATGCAAGTGACTACTTAGGCTCCATGGATTGATGGTACACCATGGTAATGTAATGATTATAATCTAATGTTTTTGCAGTAGTTGTCTGTGATGCTGATATTGGATCAATACTACTAACATTTTAAACAGGTCCTCTAGTATTACTGGAATAGATTCTGTCAATTTTTCAGGACAGAGTAAGAGATTTAACTCCTGTGCAAAACAGTACATGTAAAACATAGAGCATTAATACCCATGTCTCCTGTGCAAAACAGTACATGTTGTAAAACATAGAGCATTAATACCCATGTGTGACTAGTGTCTGTCAGCCACATCTGCTGTTGTTGAGGGTTATTTAGATGTAAGCAAGGGCAGAAGACCTGTTTGGTTTTATCAGCATATTCTGTGGTCAGTTTTTATCTGGTCCATTCATTTTTAAAACCACTTGAATTTGATTTAGTAAATGTCTATATGTAGTAGCTTTCAGAACTGTATACAGATTTATTTTTGATTTGCATGTTTTCCTGCTGTAGAAGTTCTTAGTTTCATTTTCCATTTTATTCTTTTTTTCTTTTGATGCTATTCAGTGTTTCTGTAATATTGCTAAAATTGTGTTTAGACTGATTTTGAGAATAGATACTTGGTTATTGACAGCTGAGTTGGATGCTGATTTACTGCCATTAATGGCTTTGCAGTGAGCAGACTGCACCTGCAGTGGTGTGACTTAATATGCACTACCTTTTAATCAGACTTCTTAAATGGAAAGGTGTTACAGGGAAATTGTGATCTTAAATGTCTCATTTGTATTTTCATGTCATTTGAATAGTCAGATTTATCTTCACAAAAGTGAAGATAAATATGTCAATACATTTCTCTCTGATGGAGTAAACTCATGCAACAGAGACAGATTGCTTCTGAATCAGAGTACATGGAGTACTGTTATCTCAAACCAGACCTCCAGTGCCTTAACAGTGTTTCATTTCAGGGTAGAGACTGCAAGAACTTTGACTACATCTATATGACTTTGAACAAGGCTAATTAATTAGTTGTTGGAGACACTAGGTCCACTCCAGTGTAAATCTGTTTATTGTAGGTGCAGCTGTCAGGCTGGTTAGACTGCATGCCTGTTTGTCCATTATTCTGCGTCTGAGAAGTTTTTGTTTGCTTCTCAATATAATTTCAGTCCTGCTTAAAACTATCACAAAAATGGGATTGCAGTTTTAAGCCAAGTACACACTGGTTTATTAAGTGAATATTTTATTACTGAGCCTGACATGAAAATAAATGTATTTTTATCTTGTATATGTATGTGTATCTTTACACTTTGAATCTGATGCAATTGTACTTTCACATGCCATTTGTGTAGGGTACATTTGTTTACCAGGCACCTCAGCTCTGGTGATTTGTTGATTTTCCTCCATTAAATCTGGCATTTACTCAATTAAGCAGTATTGATAAGAGAGAAGGTAGAACAGGCCATGACAACATCAATGAATGTTGAATAGTGTTGTGTCTTGCTTGTTCTCTTAGACATATCTGATAAACTTCCCAGAAAATGGCTAAAGATTGTCTGTGTTAATATACAGCACATAGGTAGCCTTAGAAATAAGGTGCAGGATATTATCATTTCAAACAATACTCTAATGCTGGCCTTCTCAGAGACCCACAAGATGAACCATTTGATGAAGCTACAGTGGCAATATAACCTATTAAGTCAAAATCACTAACATAACATTTCTGTATCTGCATCTGTCATGTTTACGTTTATTCCCCCATCACCCATATCAATCCTGTTACATAATACTCTGTCCAGTTGCAGTTCTCGCGGTGTTTCGCTAATGGACGCATCAAGAGTGTCAACAACAGCCAGGCAGCAGTATAGCACCACTGTCCGGAGCAGGGAGGGGGAGTAAAGAGGCTGTCTAAACGTCGGGTGAGTTAGGGCACTTTTCGGCTTATCTATCGTAGTATCTGCTATTTCGTGAAATATATTAAGTCACTGTTCATGAAGCAAGTGATGTTTTCATGCGATTGCCGTTTAGTTCATGCGCACACTTTTCTTTAGCATGAGTGTGCTAACGTTTAACGTTAGCTACTAACTTGGCGGACCTGCTAGTGTGAACGTGAACTCACAAGGTAAGCTAACGAAGCTTGGACTAGCATTAGCTAGGTTAGGTGTGCAATGTATGGCAGGTACAATAAAAGATTTTGTTTTGCGAGGTGTGCCTGGCCGTCTGTTATCAGTAATTAGTTTCCATGATGTTCGCTTTCACGTTTATTGTAATGACACAGTTGTCAGATTTCAGAATTCAAATGTTCTGGTGTGGCTAGCGATACAGTGATGCTAGCTTGAGGCCCATCCCTCATAAACTCACAGATAGCCAAATAATATCTGTATCTTTGGGTTAACCTATTTATTGTCCGTAATGTAAGACACCTAGCTAGTTGCATAGCAGAGCGACCTCGACAGTGATAGCGCCAATCACTTGATGATACCGAAAGGGTGGGTTGCATGCTAGCTTGCTTTTGCACTGCTGCCTCATCGTTGAGCCATTATTCTCGGCCAAAGCAAATGCTCCAAAACGCCCGACAGTCTTCGGCTTGTTTGCTCCTAACGAGCTGTCAGAAGGATTTTAAATTTTCTTGGTGACAGGTGAGCTCATGCAAGTAACGGCGTTTCCACAAAATATAAAGGTTAGTTCCCAACAGGTGCGTTGCACTCATGTCATGTAGACTGACGCTGTAGCATCCAGCCATTATAACTAACATATTGTATCTTGGTAACTTCAGCATTAGGTGTTTGAGTGCCTCCATATCTATTAATTAATGAATAATAAAGATAACAGTTGGCTTTTTCCCCTCTTTTATGCAGAGCATTTCTCAGAGATGGGGGACGATCGACCTTTTGTATGCACTGCCCCTGGATGTGGGCAGGTGGGACTTCTCAATACATCAATTCATATGCATATCTGCATAAGTCTTTCACGCTCTTTTCATTTGACACCTCTGATGAGCCAGTCCTTAAACATGTAACAAATCGTCGCTTCCTTCTTAATATTACATGGCCTTACTGTAAGTTAACGTACAGCTAACTTTACAGCTGAGGTACAGTACAAATGCCAAAGCTTTAGACAGTGATCAAGCACAAATAAGACAGCTTTGATAGTGCCCTTCCTCACGGTGGACCATCTGCACAGAGAGCAGACGCTAATATTCATGTCAAATCAAATTTGTCGGCATTGCCGCATTTTGTCCTTTACATTGATACTATACTTTTATTATCTGCTGTTATTGTTTGCAGAGATTCACCAATGAAGACCACCTGTCAGTCCACAAACACAAGCATGAAATGACTTTAAAATTTGGTCCTACCAGAACAGACTCTGTCATCATTGCAGGTAATGACATTACAATTAGTGTTTATTAAATGAAGTAATAAAGCTGTCAGTGCCCTGAAGACCTGTATTGATATGATAATCTGTTTCAGGAAGGAGATAATTCAGTCCCCAACTCTTGTTTTTTTGTTTTGTTTATTTGTTTTGCAGACCAGACACCTACACCAACACGTTTCTTGAAGAACTGTGAGGAGGTTGGGCTATTCAATGAGTTGGCCAGTTCCTTTGAGCAGGAGTTTTGCAAAGCACATGAAGATGAGCAGAGGACAAAACACCTGGTGAGATTAAGGATGAGCATGCTTGTTGAACAAAAGGGACACCATCATTTTCCTCAAGTTGCAAGAAAAACATAATATCACAATTTTATTATTTTAGGTGATCTGAAAGCCTGGATTCACCTTTTCTTTTTTTCTGCCTCTTAGGCTGCACCATTACAAACACCATGTGAAGTTAAAGATGAAGATGAGGCTCCTTTACAGGTTGATTCTTCCCCTCCCGAAAGTCCTGATTCCTCCTCCAGCATGTCAGACAACAGCAGAGACTCAAGGGTGAGAGGCAACGTACAAGGCGTTATCACATACTGTGCTTTTAGATGGTCAGCACACTGGTTTACAGATTTACTTTTAAAATTCATATCTTGGTATGCACAACAAAAAAAGTAGTGATTATGCTGTATGTCTGATCATTAAGATCAAGTGTTGGGGGGCAACTGTGGTTCAGTGGGTAGAGCAGTTGTCTCCCAACCTTAAGGTCAGGGGTTCGAATCATGGTGCCTGCAGTCCACACGTCGAAGTGTCCTTGGGCAAGACACCAAACCCCCAAGTTACCCCCGATGGTTAGAGCCATCGCAGATGGCTGCCTTGGTTCTGTACCGGAAACAAATTCCTTGTGTGTAACATACTTGGCCAAATAAAGGTGATTACTTTTACTATAAACATTTTCATTTAATTGTCTTTGGAAAGTAAATGTTATTGTTTGATGTGTCAACAGGAGATTCTGACAAAGCCCAGCTCTGCTCCTACTCCAACCATTGTGCGTCCAGGTTCTCTGCCGCTTCACCTGAGTAATGACCCATTACACCCAACTCTGCCATCTCCAACATCTGTCATCACGCAAGCTCCACCCTCCAACAGACAGCTAGGGTAAACTGCAGTGTGTTCCTGCTATTGCTTGCAGTGCTGTGTATTCATTGGCTAGGGGCAGTATTTGCGGAACATCTTATAACTGAAGTAGTGTCTGGGAAAGTATACAGAAGGTCATCATCTTCTATCACAGCAACTGTCCAGAGACTCATGTTCAAATCAGATCCCTCTGGAATATTTACTGCCCCCATATTCAGTTTCACTTAGAAATGTGCCACACTAGCAAAGGATGGTCCAACTACAGTTGTATTAGGACTTGAGAGGTTAGGTACATTTAGCATTTCAGTGCTAAAAAGAAAGCTGTTCAGTCTGTATTTTGTCGCACATTGGAGGAGCAGCTATTTACAAGTATCTATTTAATTGTTCTGAAAGTTCCCCAACAAGTTCTTATCCACTGGTGAGGCACCTCCCTAATGGACAGACTGTCCCTCTCCTGCCCAGTCCTGTGCAGATGACCTCAGTTATATCTGTAAGTCATTTTCAAAAATGGTATTAATAAAACTATAAAACAAATAATAATTGGAAGATTTTTAATAGTTTACTGTATTTCTTCTGTTTCACTCTCTCTGTATGGTTGCTTGTTGGAATGTGGAGCTTGCGAGGCCAGTGAACACAGTGCCTAACATCCCTGGGATTCCAGGACCTCCAGTTGGGGGGGCAAGCAGCGGTTCGTCCTCCCCCTCTGCATACAGTCTTCATTCTGAGACCAAGATGGTGAGATGACCAGTCACTGTAGTCTCACTGTGCATGACACAGACTCTGGAAAAACAATGTTTAATGTGCAAAACTGCTTTTACACTTTGTGTTGTATTTCATGTGATTATATTTGCATGCCATGGTTTTTAACAGCTTGTTTTAGTAAGCTTAAAATTAAATGATCTATGTGGAGTGTTGCCTGTGTGTTTCTGTAGCGGCTGAAGGCAGCTCTAACTCATCAGGGCTCAGGAGCACAAGATGGGGCTGGTGGGGGGGCAGGATCCAATCCTGCTGTCCCACAGCGGCAGGAACAGAGCCAGCAGCCCACTCAGAACTCAGATGCACCATCACCTGCTCAACCACAGGTAGCACACATGCCATGCAAAATTGCATACAAACCATACCTAAGACGGGATGCCTAAATGCCTACACTGAACAATAAACCTCTGACATGTGTGTACAATGACATGGCTCCCTAAAGTATTATTCTACTCAGAATGTGTCTCAAAGATCAGACATAACACACGGATAATTTACACATAATTTGTCAAGACTATGAAAGAGGCTTTAAATCAAGCTGACCACAGCCACTATTCTGCCCCACTTAAGAAATGCTTACTGTAGCTGCCCTTAAATAGTCGAGTTTTTAGCTGAGAGACCTGTCAGTTGACTGAGACTCTTCTAGTCTAGCCTTTTGTTTTTATTTTATTTTGTTTCTTGTCAGCCAGTGTGCATTACAATAGAAGGCAGCCCCAGCCTGATAGTTTGTCGTCATCTTCTTGGTGTGCCCAGCAGCAATTTGCTCAATATTTCCCCGGGGCGGGGGGAATACCCTCTTCTGTGGTGACACTGTGCAATGCATGGATGTACGTTAAGGTCGGATCTATTTAGCAAACTGGAGTTGAGGAGAAAAGGACAACAAAACCTACTAGGACAAGCCACATAAAGGTGAGATTTGTACTCTTAGAAGTGTTTTCAAACATCGTGGTCTATACAAGAGAAAACACTTGTGACGATGTGGCTCGTTTTGCATAATCTAATGTGTTGAGCCCGGCCTGTTTACCCATCTTCGTTAAAGTGCAGGGCACAGCCGTTTACAGACTGTTTCTGTGACATGCATCCATCTGAACAGGACTAGGAACCTAACAAAAATACATGGGGGAAACATTTTAGTGAGATAATTAGAAATCGGAGGGATCGTTTACTGTGCAAGCGGGCACACATCAAAGCACAGAAACAACATGTGCTGTGGTTAATTGATGGGAGAAGCTTAAATGTATACTACTGTACTAAATTCAGCTGTAATTATTTCCTGTACTGTGTTAACATTTGAATAACCGAGGGATTCACCTGGCTTCTGTATTAGTCCTTGTTATCATTGTAGCTTTCACACACACAATATTTAATGGCATCAAGTATTAGAATGATTAATTTGGGGCATTTGTGCTTGTTTTGCACTGCATTGTCAAAAATCCAACAAAATGCTGAATTAAATACAGTTATTGTGTGCACTAAAGAAATGCTGACATTTCAAAGGTGAGAAGCGCATTCAGTGTTTGTCTTAAAAGACAAACAAAGGCAAAAAAAAAGACAAAGAAGGGGGGGCTGATTAATGAAAACATTCTTGGCAAATGCTTTCGCTTTCGTCCGTGTTTTGTTTTCAAGTTGGCCACAAAGTACACAGACCATCAGATGTCATCATGTCTGTACTGGGTTCAGGCAGCTGTGGAAAAGGAACACAGGAGCAGCGATCTCTGTGTAAATGGGGCTATAGTTATACAGTACATAGTTATCACAGTTCTGTTCACGTAGAATTGTCATATGGAACTAAAGACTCTAAATTGTCTGTAGGAGTGAGTGTGAGTTTGTGTGGTTGTCTGTCTCTCTGTGTCAGCCCTGTGATAGACTGGTGACCTGTCCAGGGTGTAGCCCGCCTTTCGCCCAGTGTCAGCTGGGACTGGCTCCAGCCCCCCGTGACCCTGTTCAGGATAAGTGGTATAGGTAATGGATGGATGACCACTTTTGCCCATTCCCCAGGTGTCCCCTGCCCAGCCAACAGGGGGCCGGCGGCGGCGAGCTTCAGAGATGGATCCTGATGAGAGGAGGCAGCGTTTTCTGGAGAGAAACCGGGCGGCTGCCTCCCGCTGTAGGCAAAAACGAAAACTGTGGGTTAACTCTCTGGAGAAGAAGGCAGAGGACCTTGCCAACATGAATGTCTCTCTGACTGTGAGTGCTGGATGTCTCCTGGGTGTACATCAGCCATTTACACATGCTCACAGATTAGTCTCCTTGATGACATGACTTGTGTGCTGTCTATTTTGTGTTGCTGTCAGAATGAAGTGACCCTTCTAAGAAATGAGGTGGCCCAGCTGAAGCAGCTCCTCCTGGCCCACAAAGACTGCCCTGTCACTGTTATGCAGAAGAAGGCAGCTTTCTTAGGTAACCATTTAATGTCATCAACTAACCAATGAGCTTCCAGCACAGTATCACCTATTGTGTTAAAGATCCATCTGTCATCTCTTCCATCTAATGCATTCTTTTTACTCACTCACCTCTCTAAGGGTGAATGTGTCTTTCTCTCTCTCTAGCTGCAGGAGGAGAGGAAACCTCCAGGGAGGCTTCCACTGAACCCATCAGCTCCCCGGCGGCAGTTATACAACACGGGCCATCACCGCCCACCTCGGTCGCCAGCCCAGGGGCCACCATTAATGGGCTGAGCGTCCGCGCTGCAGAGGCAGTGGCTATGTCAGTCTTAGCTGGCATGGGATCGGGCCAGCCGGGAGGGGTCGTCATGGCAACGCAGTCCCAGTCAGCCCTGAGATGATGTGCTGACGCTGGTAGCCAGTATGAACTCAAGTGGCATTTGGAGGCCGGACCAGTGCAAAGAGTTTGAAAACAGGGATCTGCTCTCACCCCCCAGGCCCCAGACTAAGATAATCTCCTCCCCTCAGAGCCAATGATAATCACACAAAAAGACGGCAAAGTGCCTCCGTCAGCCCTCCCCTCCCAGAAGGCTCCCTGTTCAGAGAAACTTCATCTGTGTGTGTGTGTGTGTGTGTGTGTGTGTGTGTGTGTGTGTGTGTGTGTGTGTAAATATGAATAACATGTCGGACACTCACTCTGCAGGATTTGGAGTAATTTCATGTACAGTTATGGTTAGAAAAGGCTTTAGACTGGGATGAAAAGTAAGAATGAAACTTGTATGTAAAATAATCAGTTTATTGTCATTTCATTTAATGCAGCTTCAGTCCACTGGCTGTGATGACTTTGGTTGCTTTCTAGGCTGACAGTTTTACTGTAGGATATCTTGTATTTTTTATTTGTTTAAAAACAAAGGATTTTTTTTATTCCTGATACTGGTTGTTAGTAACGTTTTACTGATGCAGTGAGAGTATGACTTGGTGGCTGATTGCAGTAAATGTCAGCCTGGAAAGTGACTGATACTCTACTTTTTAATCTTTTCATTACTTTTCTGTCTGTTTTCCTTTTGAATAAATTCTCCTTGACTTCACATGACAGTCAGCCAAGTGAATAACTAGCCAGACTGTAGATGTGTACACACCCCAAGTGTGTCTTTTTACCATCAGTTTTAACCCATTTTAAATGGAGGTCATTGCATTCACTGTTTATGTATCAGACCCTACTGACTGCATGGATTATTCAAGGCTGAGGAATACCACTGTTTGTGCTTCATCATACGATCACTGGCTATTGATCAGCATGTCTTCTGTTTTGTTTTGTTTTTTAGAATCAGATTATTGATGCAAAATTTGTCCTTGTTGTGTAGGGATTCCATCCTCAGTCCTAAATTAATTTAAAGGCATTTAAAAGATAATCAGACCTAATAGATTTTAAATCTTTTACCCATGCATTTCAGTTAAGAGTAGTGCAATATATTTTTCTATTGAGTATCTGTTTTGTTTGCCTGTAGCTGATGTGTGTTGCCCAGCTGCTGAGGGGGGTTTGGTCCATTTCATTTGAAAGTTATGAGGTGACCAGAGAAAATGTCAAGGTGAATCTTCTTGAATGATTGAGTTTGGTGAGTAGTGCACATCTGTAGAGAAGTACAGATGTTCTAGACCCCAGGTCTAATGTGAAAAACTGTCTTGTATCATGAAGTACACTTAATACTTGTGCAAGGTTTTAAAGTGCAGATTATTTTATACCACATTGTACTTTCAAGACTCTCACGTTGGTTTCCTTTGTTTTGTTTTTTATGTCAGTGTTTTAAGAGGTTTATTTTTCTCAGTGGTAATGTTAGGGCTCTTTCGTGATGTTATGTTTCCTTATTTGGTTAAAGAGCATAAATATCTTATGTGTTTAACAGAGGTTGAACCACATGGAAACCAGTGTCTTGAAGATATCTATATGGAGGGAGTTTGTCAAATACTCAGGCCTCATGATGGGAAAAATTACTTGTGTATAGTCTCAACTAATGAGTAAGTTGTCCCAGACAAATAATAAAATAAATTAATGAAAAAGAAAAGTTCACCACAATATTTCCTCCTAGTTTGTGCCTTGTATTAATACGTTTTATTCACAGAGCTAAGCATCTATATCCTTAAAGCTGCTTTAATTGATAGTTTTAATGTTCACACTAGGGTCACACATCATCAGACCCGCAGAAAATTTTCACCCCACTGTTCACTTCGTCTCAGCCCATCTCAAAATTAGACTTTCAGTTTTGTTTTGATTTTTCAGCTGCATCCTTATGGTCTAATTTCACTTAGACTATTCACATGGGGTCATTTTTGGGCTGCAGGTGTTTATAGCTTAAAAAAAAAGCCTGCAACACCAAACGGCAAGCAAAGTTATCAACTAGCTGGTGAACATAGTGGAGCATTCAGCAGCTAAAGAACTAAATATTTCCCTCAGGAGTTGGTGGAGACTGGAAAAAGTACATATTGGACTTCACTAACTTCATAAGAAACAAGAAATGATTCCTAATATTCCACTTTGACTGCTGGGTATGTCAATAGGAAACTGTCATAACTTTTTACCTTAAGACTAGATAGTATCCCAGGAAACAGGTAACCTTCCAAGAATATTCCTGAATTGAACTGAAACCTTTTGGTTACATTGTATATAGTGTTATATGGGAACATAATTTTAAAGTATGTTTGTCTGAGCGGCATTTCTCAATGTTTTTGCTTGTTTGACTTTACAGCATCTCTGGAGAACGCTTCCTTAAGGTTTTCGTTATTTTTGTGAAACCTTTAGAGAACCCTGATGGAAGGTTCCTAGTGGGCTCCATGGGTTATTTTTTTGAACAACCTTAAAGCTGTTGGAAAAGTGTTCCCATAAGGTTACAGCAATGGCAATCCCAGATTGCTGTGGGAATGTGTATACTAGTTTACCTTACTTTTTACTTTATAATATTTATAATTTGGATACGTTAAAGTGGCAGGAGTTGAGAAATAGGTTAACAGGCTATTTAAATGTTCAGCAAATTAATATTTTTCATCTAGGTGGTTCATGGAGACTTTGAAGACAGAAAACCACTAAATGTTTATTTTTCAAAAGAAAAATCTTGAAAAGATTTTCAGCCTTGCATTCAGTTTAAAAATGTCTTAATACCTTTCTGGCCTTCTGTAATGTCAGTTATAAAATGTGTTTGTGTGTAGTGTTTCAGAAAGCATCAGACTGCTAACTAATGGAGCCAAGTCAAAATTAAGTATAATAAAACATTTAAATAATAAATTGAATGGCATTTATCCGGGTCCAGATCGTATTTTAATTAATCATACCATTAGAAATTATTATTAGCCTATAGGCTATAACCCATTGCTGCAGGCCGCTGAACAAATAAGCTAATAAATAATTCAAAACATCCTGTTTTTCCACCATACTTTCATACTTTGGCCAGTGTGAAACTCTATTTTTTTAAATGTTTACTTGGTGACGTCTGTGCAAACCACGAGCAGCCTAAATTTCCACCTGAGGGCAGGCTGGCAGGTGAGCAGGATCTGGAGGAATGCCGCTGTGCCTCCAGCTGAACAGACCCGCCAGCAGGGGGCGCAGAGAGCCCGCTTTATCCCGCCATCCTTCCACAGCGCTTCACCCTCAGCCCTGGTCATGTGACTGGCAGACTCCTCCGGTGAGTTGTTCCCATCTCCCTCAGTCATGGCGGTGTCGGGGAGTCGCGAAGATGGAGTGAACACTGTCACTACTACATCTTGATTCTTTGTTTCATGCTGGACTGTACTTGCTGTCATCCGAGATACCGCAAACATCCCACAGGCTGCTGTGCTTCCAACGATGTCCGACCGCGGCGTTGATCTGTCGGCTCTGTCTAAAGAGGTCAGGGACCAGCTGGCGGAGTTGGATCTGGAGCTCTCCGAAGGTAAGGTCTCCGTGCGGCGGGTTTAATAGTTGCAGCTGCGACGGAAGTAAATGTGAACTACAGCCAAGTGTGGCTGGTGAGGGTGTGTTTTACAAACTGCTCTGTGCCAGCTGGTTGACACTCAGTGTTGCTGCGGTGGATCAGGGCACGACCACAACGAATGATAAAACACACTGACCTCTTCAAGCTGGCATTTCTTTATCAAGAAGGTTATTCTTGTTGCTTTGACGCCCACACAGGGGTGATTATTTTATGGCATGGGACACATGCTATGAACGAACGGCTGTTTATGTTTGCAGTCTAGGAGGCTCCTACTGTTTCCTTCCCTCACTGCTCTTGTTTTCGGGACAGGAGGTCTCCTAAGCGGAAGGTTGGCGGTTCGATTCCCGGCTTCCCCATTCCACATGTTGAAGTGTCCTTGAGCAAGTTGCCCCCGGCAAATAGTGTGAAAGCGCTTTGAGTGCGCAGCAATGCACACAAAAGCCCTATACAAGTATAAGACCCTTTACCATTGCCGCATATATGCCACACTTCGCTTGTCATTATGAGCCAACACAATTCTGACGAGGGAAATAGGTCAAGTTTGTCATCCCTCAGGCCCTGTGTGTGTGCAGCTTCAGACATCAGTGGACACTAAGTGATGCTGTGACCCCTCCAACACTCAGCTGTGCTGCTCTGTGAGCCTGAGCCCTGAAAACGCTGCACATATCAGAGGCTTATTTGTTTTGTAAGAGCGACTGTGGGAAAAGAGAATATGGTGCTGGCTGTTATGCAAGTCTCCTCCTCACACTGTGAATCACAGTGCAGCAGCCTGATTGGTGCTGTGCAGTTCTCAGGTGCCCTGGGGGTGGATGAGTAATGTTATGTTTCACATAGTGAGACAAGGAGACGGATGTATGGGCCACTAATGATGGCTCAGTCCCTCATGCACCACACACATACCTGGAAGTGTCCTGCCTAGGCAGGAAGACAGGTGAATCCTCACATCATATGAAAGGACCAATGTGGAAACAGTCTGCAGTCAGCACTTTGCGCCTCACACAGCCAATCAGCTAGTGTGATTTTGTTAGTAATAATAACAGAGTCGGTAGCAAGAGTTTTCCTCTTTCATTCATGAAAAGCACACATATCTCAGAGGCCCTGTTTGACTTGAACTAGACAAACCAGCCGGCAGTGTTGGGAAGTAGTGAACTACATGTCATTAAACTAGTAGTTTAACTACATTTTGCAGTAGTTTGCTGGTACTGTAGATCAGCTACATTCATATTTGTGTAGTAAAGTAGCCTAGTTAAGTTACTGTTTTGTCATTTTTTCTGTGTAGTTACTGACATTACGTACAGTTTTGGGTCATAAAAGGAAAGGTATTATTTTTTTTAATTTTTGTTACAATGCTGCATGAGAGCTGCTTTTCAGCGTTGGCCGGACATTTTCAATACCAAACAGAACCGCCTGTTGGATAAGAACTTTGAGAGACGGCTCGTGTGTCATATGAACAAGTGATTTTGCTCTGACAGGTAAAAGATAGGCCCATTATTTAGACCAGTGTTCAAGCTGTTCCTACTGTCTACAAAGGTGCAAAATAGAGACTTTTAGTTGTTAAGATTTTACAAGTCAGATGGTACAAAACTGACCGGTAAGACAACAGGTCCGTTTATTTTAGTGCAGGGCTCATGTTGGTTGATCGGTTAAATGTTTTTTCTCTTCTGTTTTAGTTGTAGTTTGACACAAAATCCATGTTTGTTTACAACACAAATATAACAGTGCTTGCAATTATGTCCTTGTGAAAAGCCCAGATGAGGTTGTTGTGCTTAGAACATGTTTAGGTCTCAGGTAAAAAAGAAGAAAAAAAAACTTAGCTGTGTGTTGGCATGTGAATTTTTGTATTTTGAGCAATTCTTTTCTAAGCAGCTTTAGTTAAACTACATTTCTCCGTAGGGTAGCTTTGCTGTAGTTCAACTTCTTCCAGTGTGAAGTAATTGGTATAGCTTCTAAAGCTACTGTATGCTTTCTACAATAAGTAGCTTCCCCAGCACTGGACTTTAGTATCTTGACAAACAGCCAAGCTGGAACCTTTTAACTCTTAAACTACGAGGTGTTAAATAATTTTATTAAGCTCTACATTTGAAGTATTTCTGTTGACTCTGAAGTAAAACTTCTTTTTTCCACCATCTAAAAATCCATAGCCCTAGCAGTACCACTATCTTTAATAGCCTACTTATTCTTTGAAGGTATTAGTTTGGCTTTCCACTATGTCCTTAACGTGTAAAATCTGCAGGGTGTCACAGAACTCGGCTGTGACCGGAGCTGCCGTAGAGTTGTGAACGTGTTCCGGTTAATAATAGACCCCAGTTAATGGCGTGATAATGAGGGTGGATGACGGAGGAGAGGATGTTCACTGTATGTTCAGCTAACTTAACGTGTGTGAGAGCCAGTGGATGATGATGGGAAATGACCGTCTATTCAAGTGCACAGTTTAGGCCGGAATCCAGTTAATGCATGTAATATTATTGTTATTCACTGTACAACACTTCTCTTTGTTAAATTAGAAGACATTTGTTTTTGAAGGATATAAGTGAAATTGTGTAATCAACCATGTAAGTATTGTTGTCAGAGCACTGTGATTGCAGAACTCACCTTGATTTCTTAGGTCTGTGCTGTGCTTAATGGATTAAATGCAGCAGAACCCAAATGCTGTGCTTTTAACTGTGAAATGATTTTGGTCAGCTTTGCTCAAGTCTTTAGTGAAAATTTGGAATAACAAACCAGATAGGCAGGATTAGATAGTTTTGTTTTAATTAACTGGAACAGAAAAGTAGATTGATTATTGTTTTAAAAGACCAAAAAAAAAAAACCTATTCTGTTTTAACTGTATTAAAGGCATTTAGAAGATTACAAAGGGTATTTCCTGGATGTTAGGGATGCAACTTATTATTTCTATTATCAATAAATCTGTCAGTTATTTCTTCAATTGATTATTTATATTATTTAAATAATCATCGATTCAAAGAGTAAGTGGTAACCTCTTGTGTTTTATCCAACTCACATGCTCTCTCT